AGGCTCAAACCTCATAACCCACAACATGCAAATATCGGACAATGGGTCTATTCTTGACGGGTTAAATGAGCTCATGGCCTGATAATATCCCCTCTCAAGATAAAGAATATATATTTTTTGCTCTTATTTTGATCTTATGTTACTTGAGTAGCCAATTAGATAAGGTCTTGGTGAAGACGTCTACTAGTTGTTGATTGTTGTTGACGTGCTTTGTTATTATACTTTCATTGTGAATCTTTTCTTTAATCAGATGATAGTCTAGTTTGATATGCTTTGTGCACTCGTGATAAACAGGATTGAGAGTTATGTGAAGGGCTGCCTTGTTATCACAATAAAGGGTTCTTGCTTTCGGATGTTCGACTTAATTGCTCTGTAAGAGATATCTAATCCAAGTCAATTTGTAACGTACATTCGTCATTACTCTATATTCTACTTGCAAGAAGATTTGGAGACAATTTATTACTTTTTTTATTTTCAAGATATTAAGAAAGTCCCTGCAAGTACACAATATCCTCTGATGGATCTTTTTATATCATGACATCATGTTCAATCGTTGTCACTATAAGAATTCAATTTTCAAATTGGAAGAGCTAAGGTAAACTAAATTTTGGTCCAAAATTCCCTTTATGTACTTTTGTAATTTCTAGGCAGCATTCAGGTGATCATTTTAAAACTTTTTTATAAATTGGCTAGTACTCATAACTGAGTAGGATAAATTTGGTCTATTGAGTATTAAGTACATTAGCTTGCCAATCATCCTTTTATGCATTATTGGATTCTCAATCAGTTCTCCAACATTTTTAGATAATTTACTATTTTACTCTAAGGGTTATGTAGAATTCTCCCTCCAAGAGCATATGCATTTTTCAACAAATTCAATGCATATTTTCTTTGACAAATATGTATTCCATTTTTAATGTAGGAACCTTAATTCTAAAGAAGTGTTTTAAATTTTCTATATCTTTGATTTTAAATTTTTTATCTAATTTAATTTTTAATTGATATATTATCTTAATATTATCACTAACAACTATTATACCATCTATATATATAAGTAGAGCTACAAATTCTTACCACATTTCTTCATGAAGGGATTCTTCATGAAGGGATTATAGTCTCTCTTAGACTGATCATACTTTGCTTGATGATAAAATTTGAAAATCTAGTATATACCACTCTCTGGATGCTTGTTTGAGTTTATAAAGACTCTTGTTTAGTCTGAACACTTTCCTTCATTTTTTTTGGAATGTCCGAAAGGCAACTATATGTACACCTCTTCATCGAAATCAACGTGCAAGAATCCATTATCAACATCAAATTGTTTGAGATGCCAACCTTTCACTACTGCTAGGACAAGTGTTGTCCTAACAGTGGTTATTTTAACAATTGTTGAGAAAGTGTTATGGTAGTTTAGATCTTCCCTTTGGGTGCATCTTTTTATTAATAATCTTACCTTATATCTTTTAATGAGCTCATCTATTTTAAACTAATTTTGTAGGCCCATTGATATCCATTAGCCCTTTTCCTTGTAGAAAGATTCACAATCTTCAATATTTTATTATCTTCTAGTGCTTTGAGTTCATATTCTTTTGTCCTCCTCAATTATCAATCTTGTTGGCTTCTGCAAACGAGTTACCTTGGGTTGGCCGTTTTTGCCCGAATTCGGTCAAACTTGCATTGGTCCCTGTGATAAAACAACCCTAGGGCCCTCGGTGGGCCAAAAAATCACGAAAAAACTGAGATTTACTGGCGGCAGTGCTCTCGGGTGCGGCGGCTCCTCCAGCGTGAGTCGCGTTTTGATGTTTGGCTCCGATCAACATGTAGAGAAACGAACGGTGATCACAGTGGTATAAAATATGCAATGAACGTGGCTGCTGACGTGACAAAACTTTTCTAAATTGTATTTTGACCTCCGGTTTTCGATTTTCTTTTCAAAAACACCCCCATAATCTAAATATTCACCCATTTTTCTCAAAATCAATTTCAATTAAATCCAAATAATATTTTTACCCAATTTTATCATTATTATTATTTTTATTTTTATTAAATTAAATTAAAATTTTATAATTTAAATATATAAAAAATTAAACTAAAAATTCAAATACAAAAAAAAAAATATTTGGGTGTTACAAGTAACTATTTAATTAAAAAATTAATATATTCTTTTTTCGATAAGAAATAATATATTCGAGTGAAAGATACTCCGTGTATCTTCGTACAAAAATTATTTTTTATGATATTATGACTAATGCATATGTATCACTTGTTGAGATGCATGTATTGATTTTTACTCTACTACTTAATTTTTGTTTTTAATTCTTATCCACAAAATTCGAACATAATTGATTCAACATTACATTGGGTGGGTTATTATTATGAAAGGAAATAAAAAATACTACGTTCCGTTATTATTATTAAAAAGACTTTACACTGGCTGCATATTTTTTTCGATAATATACGGTGTATAGTTTGGTAACATTTGGTAAAAGAAAAATGAAAACATAAAACAGAAAAAAATGAGAATTAAACAGTAAAAAGTTATAATTAAATAGTAAAAAAATTTGTTACTTTAAAATAGTGGAAGTTAATAGTTTTCACCCAAAAAAACCCAATATTTTTCATAAAATTATTATTAAAAAAAATAATATTCTCGCTAAATTAAATTCATCAAATATTTTCTAATCCTATTTAATTATAAATTTTAAATATTTTCTTTTGTTTTGTAAATATATTTTTAATTTCAAAAAAAAAAAAAAATCAAACGAAATTAAAGAAGATCCATTTAATTACCTAAATACCACTGCACATCTATGTTTACTTGTCAAATTGCCACCGTGGAGAATAAGAAATGGGTTGGGGCAGCGATCAGTTGGTGGTGGTCGCAGACTAGTAGCGGTGGAGTTGTTCCTTTTATGTGACGCGTGTAGAGTTTGGACGATCTATTGTTGACCAAAGCGTCAAATGCGTCATCAGCACCGTTCATCATTGAATCTCTTTCGGTTGTACGTATATTTTTTAATAAATCGAGAAAGAGGAGATAAGATGAATGTGCCACCTTACGTATACGTATCATTTATATTTTAACGAAGAAAACTCGAAATGGGAGGTGACGCAAACTAACAAGGACACGAGTAATTGTATATTTACAGGTGAATCAGTGTCTGGTTATCTTTGAAATGATGGGATGGAGTGTCTTCAGCCTGATTCCAATGGAGAATGGTGTAAGGGCCATTCTTACTCCTCAACCAACTCACCTTCTTCGTGCCACTGCTGCTGCAGGCTCTAAGATGTCACGAACCCCGGTTACTTATTCTTCTCCTGCTACCTTCTGCACCATTTTTACGATTCGACCTGCTTATAGCCGCCAACCCATGAGTTAGTGATGCTGCATTGTCTCACAGTTTTCGTTTCTATGTTTTTCATAATCATTCAAACATGGGTATGCAGTGATGCTGACAATTAATTATCAAAAGCCTTACATCTAAGCTATATGTTTTGGGAAATAACTAGTTTCTGACTCAATTCATCACTCAAAATAATTTTTTCCATTCTCATTAATTGGCTTCTCTTCCATTTACATATATATATATATATATGTATACACATATATGTTTTTTATGGCTTGTAGACTGGTAGCTAGTAAAAATCAAAAGCATATAGTTACTACAATACCCTTCTACATCAATCTAATTAAGCGGGGCCTTGTTCGTCTCCACCTGGATCTGACCGCGGTTACTTGTCGTCGCATCACCGCCGTTACTTGTAGTAGCATCACCGCCGCTGGGCTCGTCTCCAGCAGGTGGTGGTCTCCTCTTGTTCTTAGATTCTCTCCAGTTAAATTTACTAAAAATCCCTCCATCTCCTCGAGGGTTTTACCCTGTGTTTCCGGTAGGAAAATAAAAAAGAACAACCACGCCACGGAGGCGATTCCCGCGAAAAGGAAGAAGGCACCTCCGGTCGTGATCCCATTTGACAACGAAAGAAAAGTCGTCGCTATTACCCCACTCGTCACCCTGTTCGCCACCACCCCCATACTCGCACCCTGCGCGCGTAGTCTCAACGGGAAAATCTCAGAGGTGTACACCCACGTGATGGGCCCCATCCCGATTGAGAACGTCGCTACGAACGACAGCACCATAGCGACGCTCAGTCCGATCGCCCACGTCAGCTTCTTCCCTGGGTTGTGGTCGATTATTGTCAGGCTCGTCGCCAGCGTCAACAATGACACAACCATTCCTCCCACACTGCTTAGGAGCAACGGTCGCCGACCGATCTTGTCCAGCAAAAACGTCGCAACCAGGATGAACACTGTCTTCGTGAATCCGACGGCTACCGTGGCGAGTAGCTTGTGGTCGGACGACGTGATTCCGGCTTTCTCGAAGATTCTTGGCGAGTATAGAACGACGGCGTCGATTCCGGAAGCTTGTTGGAAGAAGTGGATGCCAATGGCGGCGATCAGAACGCGGCGAACGGACGGCGTGGGATGAAACAGCAGCTCTTTCCATACACCCTCACCGTGAGATTGCTTCTGCACCTCCACGACGTCGTCTTGGCAGTCCTCTGGGATTCCCGCTGCCTCTTTAATTTCGATGAGTCTC